CCTCCCTCCCCACACACACCAACAACCAACCCCCACCCTCCCCCTTCACCACACACACACACACACACACACACACACACACACACACACACACACACACACACATCCTCCCTACCCTCCACACCCCACTCCATACCCTCGGAATCTGTTTCATTTTCCCCGTCAACGTAAACAATTGTATCACAAGGAGAAGTAAGTAAAAGCTTTTATAATTCTCTCACTTTTAACAAATTTATTGAATTCTACATAAACGTAAAACAATGATATCAATGGGTGGAAATTAGACCAGATCTTTTTTCATAGAAACTCTGAGGTTGTCAAGTATTAACAAATGGCGAAACATTTGTCACCGACAGTTATAATTGATCTCTGGTGATAGGACTAGATGGACGCAAACTGGATAATCCATAGATCTAGCACAGAGGTGATAGGTGTGTACATAAGTTGGGAGGTGGATGAGAGACTACCTTCGGAGAGTATCTGTTCGCCGTTGGGACGGAGAGAAGGTTACACAGGGTGTCGCCGTACAGAGAGCGGGTGACTGCCCCCTCACATCGAAAACACATGTACTTGTAGTATCAACATTTGCTCCTTCTTTCTTATCCAGCATCTATCGTCCTTATCCTTCCTCCTTGTTTTTGTGTGTTTGTTACTCCTTGTAATGTAAAAGCAAGAAACGCCAAGGCAAGGTCAGCCTTCAACTAATTATCAGATGTCTGGAAAGCAGGCAACGTCTCACTGCGCACCAAGATCCGACTCTTTAATTCCTCTGTCAAGTCTGAGCCCCTCTACGGCTGCGAAACTTGGAAGACAACAAAGACAGTGATGAATAAATTCAAGACTTTCAACAACATATGAGGAGTGCCCTAAGAATTAAGTGGCAGGATAGAATAAGAAATAAACAGCTGTGGGAAAGGACAGGACAAATGGATATAGAAGTAGAAATAGGAATAAGAAAGTGGCGATGGATGGGACACACCTTCAGAAAGCCCAGCAGAAACATCACGAGACAGTCGCTGCAGTGGAACCCACCGGGAGCACGAGGCAGTGGTAGGCCAGGGGAAACATGGAGGAGATGTGTGGAAATGGACATGATTGATTGATTGAGTGGGTGTTTTACTTCACAAAAGAGAGATGAAGCTCACTTGGAACGAGCTGGGAAAGATGTCCCAGGACAGAGATAAATATAATAAGGAGCTTGAATGTCCTATACCGTACCAGGGGCGGAAGGCATTGATGATGATGATGACTCCCTTGTAACACGTCTGATCTTCGACACTTATATCACCTTGTTTATTGTGTTGCAAGTGCCGTAAAACTCTTACTAAAAGCAAAGTTAAGTAACACATTGTTCTAGTAACCGTGGCTAGTGACTTACGCTGGTTTATTGTAGTCATTTCCGTTCTTGCTTGTAACACGTCTAATCTTCGACATTTATATATCACCTTATTTATTGTGTTGCAAGTGCCGTAAAACTCTTACTAAAACCAAAGTAAAGTAACAACTTTTACTATTATATCATAGTAACCGTGGCTAGCGACTTACGCTGGTTTGCTGTAGTCATTTCCGTTTCTGCTGACCTGTCTCTTCAGGTATTTGTGGACCTCCCTGTCCATCAAGATACGCGCCCGGTTCCGGCGCGCAGATATGCCGAGAAGTCCAATGACCCCCACACCGTAAACAAGGACCACGGCGATGGTGAACTTTAGGGCGCCGGCAGAATCTTGTGCTGGGGGAGTAGGTGTGATTTTTGTTATTGTTGAAGCCAGAAGACTGAAGGCATAACTTCTCTCTTTCTCTCTCTTTCTTTCTCATTCTCTCTCTCTCTCTTTCTTTCTCCCCCCTCTCTGTCT